GACTAGAAGACCTCCAAGGTCCCTTCCAACTCTGCTATTGTATTTGTTATTAAGTTGCCAGGGTGAGGGAAGTGGGGGGGAAACGCATTCCACACATACCTTTGGCTACAGCCGGATCACAGATGACTACAACAGGCATGTGAAAGGTGCACCTCATTGGAGAATGTGATTTATGACACAGACTGAGGGGAGGGAAGGAACAGGGACGAAGTTCAGCCATAATTTAAATGAGGTCAGATCTGACTGCAATGGGGTATTGCCGAAATGGCGTTCCTAATAAATGACTGGTTTTCTTTTGAAACTTGGCTCGAGGCTCATCAATCAATTAGAGCATCTTTCGGAAACCTGACACATCACCCTCTTTTCCAAAAGTCCGGAAAGAAGGGATTGCATCCCATACTCTCTTAGTCTTTGACCCCAATAAACCAATTTGTGGCTCTGTATCATTGTGTCCTTGTCTCTGATTTAAAAGCTGTGCCTGGGAAAACTCTTCTATAATCCTTCATTTTATAGATATTGTCTCGTTACCCATCACTTCGCATTTCCTAAAAAAATATTCATTATTAGTCTTCTATTTTTTTTTTCTTTAATGAGATCACCCATTGCATAGCTCAAGATTTGTGGCTTACTCCCTGTTGTTTTGCAGGGAGATAAAAAACTTGGGTAACAATTCAGTGTAATCCAAATTACAAATGGCCAGCTGGAGAAATGGTCTAAAACAGTAGATGTTCCCGATATAAATACACCACATTTTTGGTAATTAACACACAGTTAATGCAACCACATCCTATGTATTAAATAATTTCTCTTTTCTGTCACATGAAAGTATTACAATTTAGGGTCAGCCTTTGGGTGGGCTTTGTAGTCTCGAATCAAAGTTTGAGGGCATGAATGAAAGAAAGAATGAATGAACGAATCTTCTGTCAAGTGATTAATTGGGTACATCTCTATGTATATGCGGTAAGCCATGATGATGACACCCACTCCATGGTGTGTGTAGAGGGGTGTGCATAAGTGCACTAACATGCCTATCGTCCTTGACAGGGTATTTTTAGTCTCTTATTCTTGTTCTCATTTTTATTTGACAAATTCAAATAAATAAATAAATAAATAAATAAATAAATAAATAAATCATCACATCAATGATATTATAATGGATGTCCCTTCCCTTCCCATAATGCTATTCTGATATGCTTTTTAATGCAGCTTTCCCCTGAAAATTGGTGGAAAATTGCAATGATTTCTTAATGTTTTCCTGCCAAAATGTGACAGTATGATCTCCAAGGGATGCATCCAAAGATCTTGGTTGCCCATCCCCATAACTCAGGCCAGTCCGCATTCGACTAACAGTCCCATCCTCACAATGGGGGTAATAATTAAATAGAGATGGAATTATAAAGTGTAAGGAAAACTCACTTTTTCTCTAATTGAACCCAGGAGAAAATCTATGAACCTTCAGATACCATTTCTCACCTAGCTGTACTTCTTGAGGCTCCATTGAGGAAATACTGCATTGTCAGAGGAAATGAATTTCTTGCTGTTAAATCCATTAATCTTAATAATGCCTGCTGGGATTTGTTTATCAAGTTAAACAAAACTTGCATCACGTATTTTTCTTTTGTTCTCCTTCTTGAGCTGTTGAATTTCATCAGCTGTAAAACATTTATATGTCAACACATTGGCTGAGTTGCACTAAACCCTGACTTGTTAAATTGTGATTGGTTAATGCAACATAATTATTCACATTAAGTTGTAAACCGTCTTTGCAAATTATTACAAATGGAGTCATGCACTAAGCCAGTGCTTCCCAATTTCAACAATTTGAGGATAAGTGGATTTCAATTCCAAGAATCCCCCAGTCAGCATTACCAAGGTCGACAAACTCTGCACTAAGCCAATTCAAAACCAAATAACGTACATCGTGTCTTAATAAAGATTTTCCAATTTTGGGGGCTAACAGGAATGTGTAGAAACTGGTGGATGCTATGTCAGGTGCAAGAAGTTAGGGTATTACAAGTTTATTTCATGCTATCTATATACAATAATTTGAACTCAAGGCAAATTGGTGCCAAGTTAGAGTCAATGGATTTCAAAAGGGGGTTGGACTAAGTCTTTTTTGATGGTGTAGAGTAGGGGTCCCCAACTCCAGGGTGTGGCCAATCACTGGGCTATGTCCTATTTGCAACTGAGTTGTGCGAGCACTGGGCCAACCCATATGCTTGCACGCAACTCAACTTGCACAAGTGGTGGGCAGGCACACCTGCACATATGCACAGTTCAACTTGCATAAGTCAAGCTACACATCCATGCATGTAGATGCCAGTCACCCCTCTGTGGCCCGGTTCCCCTCTGCCTCCCCACTGGGCTGCCCAGCTGCAAAGCTTGGGAACCACTATTGTAGAGACTCTAAACTAATGAGGCATTTGACTCCACCCTCGGGCTCTGCCTAGTCATCTCCTACATCCTGTTACAAAACGCTCAAGATTTATGTCAGGCTCCAGAAACTAAGAAGGACACATTCTAAGACAGATTTCTTTATTGTTCTTCACCTATAGAGAGTATCTTGTCAAACTAAAGCAGACTACTCGCACCATAAAAGATACGCTCTGGGAACTATTGGGAAGGAGTTGTCTTAACTCTCTTTCTCCCACACAAATTCTCTAAACTTGTGTCGTCTCTTGCTTTTCTGGAATGCACTCTCTTCCTCTTGGGAATCCAGACAACATTCCATCACACTACCATAGCTGAGCTGCTGTCATCCAGATGACTTCACGATAACAACAGGTTTGTCATTGAGAGGCCTTTTGGAATTTTGCATTCTAGATCTAATAACTCTTCTTTAGCAACTCTGTTAACCCCAAATCTAGACTTAGCCATATCAAGAGGAAGAGCAAAGAAAACCAAACTGCAAAAATGAAGCAAAGTGAAGAAGAGCAAGCTATAAACTGGGTTCAGACCAGAGGTGGGTTCCTATTGGTTCAGCCCGGTTCGGCCGAGTAGGTAGTAACTCGGCCTGCCATGCCCCCAAACCGGCTCTATTGGTGGCACCATAGGCGCCGACATCTTGTTTTTTGCTTCTGTGCATGCGCAGAAGTATTTTTTTTACTTCTGTGCATGCATGCGTAGTGCGCATCAAGCGTGCGCCCCTAAAGTGCGTGCACGCCTGGAGAGTGTCCCTGAGTGAACTGTCAGTAGCAGAAGTTGGAACCCACCTCTGGTTTAGACTAGTGGTGGGATTCAAATATTTTTACTACGGGTTCTGTGGGCGTGGCTTGGTGGGCATGGCAGGGGAAGGATTCTGAAAAATCCCCATTCCTTCCCGATCAGCTGAGACTCAGGAGGCAGAGCAAAGATAGGGCCGGGGCCAGTCAGAGGTGGTATTTATCCATTCTCTGAACTACTCAAAATTTCCATTACCGGTTCTCCAGAACTGGTCAGAACCTGCTGAATACCACCTCTGGTTCATGCATCCCATTGACCTGTAACGTCTATCCAATCTGGCATTTTCAGTTGAATTTAAAATTTCTGTTGCTAAGCGAAACATTTGTTAATTGAGTTTTGCCCCATTTTACGACCCCTCCACATTTGTTAAGTGAGTCACTGCAATTATGATACAGTTGCTAAGTGAATTTGGCTTCCCCTATTGACTTTTCTTGTCAGATGTTTGCAGAAGGTGATCACATGACCCTGGGACATGGCAACCGTCATAAATATGAACCAGTTATCAAGCATCCAAATATTGATCACAGGGAAGCTCCAAGAGTTGTAAGTGTGAAAAACAGTTCTAAGTCAATTTTTCAGTACTGTGTAACTTTGAACAGTCACTAACTGAACTTTTGTAAGTCAAGGACTACCTGTACACCTTGATCTTTCCCCTACTCATGCATCCAATCTAGAAGCTTGCATATATATATATATATATATATATATATATATATATATAAA